AACAACAGCTTTAGAACCATTAATTCAAGAACGTGCACTATTTATTCATGTAAAATTTTTGAGAAAAAAATTTTTATTTTTGAATTAATTTTTTTTTTGCTTGAAGGAAAATGCAAGTGGATATTATCGTGTATCAACTTTTTTTATTGCAAAACTATTCAGTGATTTACTTCCGATGCGTTTTATTCCTTCGATTATTTTTTCATTAATTACATATTTTATGACAGGTTTTCAAATATCAACAAATCAGTTTTTTATTTATTTATTAACTATTTTTATCAGTACAGTATTTGGATCAGCTATTTGTTTTTTTGTTGCTTCTGTTATTCCAATATTTGGTATTTTGATTTTGTTTTTGTTTTTGATGCCATAAAAAAATATATTTTTGTTTTCATTTAGTCGTTTCACTTATTGTCATAGTATTTCTTTTTGTTGTTATGATGGTTTTTAGTGGTTTTCTTATTGATCTCAAAAGTGTATTTTCATTTCTTCAATGGCTTCAATGGTTTAGTGCTTTTCGATATGCAACAAATTTATTAACAATTAACGAGTTTCGTAATTTAAAATTTTGTTTAACAAATAATACACAAATTTGTCCATTAACAGGTGAAGAAATCTTAATACAGCATCATATTCCTTATAATAATAATTGGGACATGTGGAAAAATTTATTAGCTTTATTAATAATGATTATTACGTTTTTATTTATGACCTTTATCCAATTATTAAGAATGAAAAAAGTCAAATAATCATATTTAACAATTATCTGTTCAAAGAAATAAAAAAATAATTTATTAATTGAAATAATTTTTTTTTTTCAATTTAAACTTCTTTGAATTTTAAGTGCTAAAAAAAATCTCTTTAGAAGGTTTATGAATTAATATTATCATAATTTTATTTAACTTCAAATGCTTTTGTTTCATAGAAAGGAATTTTTGAAACGTTTAATATAGGCTCTTTTGTGTATAGAAAACATTTTAATACTTGTATAAATAAAAAAGCATAGTTCCAATCAATATGATGGGTAAACAACGATCTCAATAAAGACAAAGTTAGATTTTGAAAATTTGAACAGACATCAATGATAAGAATGATAGAAGAAAATAATACTCGATGAAATGATTATATTTATATTGCAGTCAATATCATTGACTCGATTCTAATTTGCTTGTAATGTGAATTTTTGGTCAGATAATTCATTTTGTGAAGTATATTAAAATTGTCGCCCATCGCTGGCTGCTCATTGAACTCTTTTCATGTAGAAACAATCGAAAAAAATCTAATTAGAATAGGCTTTTTTCTGATTAGAAATCGATTATTATGTTACTGTTATAATCCGAGCTTATTCTGATTTAAAATTATAAAAAAATTGATTATTTAGACAAGTCGACTAAAAACTGATTTCTTTTTTTAAATCTGATTAAATTTGGATTATAGTAGTGCCACTATAATCAAGTTTCATTTCTTTTTACATAGATACCTATCAGTCTATTTTAATCATATTAATCTGGAATACAAACCGCTTAATTTTCCATAATTATGTTTTTCAATCAATATAACAAATTATTTGCCGATATATCGACTTTTATTGATAATTCCCAGAAAAAATCTATCTTAATCTACTATTTTGTTAAATTTAATCGAAATGTGGTTTATTTAATCAATTTTTTTGTCGTCATTGCCGAAAAACCAATTTTAATCTCATTTTTTTTCTCTACATGAATTCTTGTTTGACAAAAATAGCAGATTAAAAAAAACTTACGACTTACAAACAACCAAATATGCAACATCTCAAATATACATTGAATTTTCACTGTTGACGACAAGTTGCTAAACAAATCCTAAAAGAAGTTTGCTTAATATTTTAAAAATACGGACTACTAAAATAAAATATTCATCCGATTTTTACAGCGGAAATTTTCTAATAATAAATTTTGAATAATAACTCAGAAAGTTCTCAATGAATATCTTCAAATACTCGTAATAAGTGTACTAGCTACAACTTAATACGAGTCTGATCATTGCTATTAAAGAATCTCTATTTATTCATTATAGATTCATCAAGTTTTACTTTCACAATGAATTACACTCCTACATAGTTTATAATGCAACTATCATTATTTTATTTGTTCATCTTCATAAACATTAATATCTTGTTCTTGTTGCTGATTGTTAACAGTATTAATATGATCCGATGACGATACATCTTGATATTGAATATTCTTTAATGGATTTCGGTTGATAATTTTGAGATCACGAACAAAAAAGTAGAGTAATACAGCAGTGACTATACTAACTGTAAGACCTATTGAGATTATACCTAAAAGAAAATCAATTCAAATAGTTGTTCGTAAAGATAAAATAGAAAGATTATGCTCACTAAGAATATAAGAAATAAAAGCATATCGAGCAGCCGTTCGTTCATAGGTGATATTTTCATAATTCTTTAACATATATTCAGATCGTCGTTTAGCCATATAGACCAAAATACATGCAATCAATCCTATAGAAATCGTTGTATATTCAAATAATAACAGAAAATATCTTCTTACCGATCAGTGGATTGAGAATTAAAGCCACTGTTGCTAATAAGAAATGATATTTTTTCTCATTTTCTATTGATGTGTGTAACTCAATTAAACGATGTCGAGTCTCATCATCAGCAAATTCATGTTCAATTAATAATTCTTTTGATAAAGTTTTTCCTAATGAATATCGCGTTACCCAAAATAATTTCTTCTTATTAGATATAGATGACTCTTCAGTAGACGAAGAATCTTCGACGTAAGCCACCTTCAAATATTTCGTTGACTAAATTAGTTTTAAATTAAATTAGTAATATAGATTATTGCTAAGGTAGAAGATTTTTGTACTAATAAATATGCATGGCAACCTTTACTTATGATGAGTCATCAAAAAAAAGAAAAATTAACGAAAGTGTATTTTGTTTTTTTGGCAATGATAGTATCAAAAAAATTTTATTATCTTATGTATGAAATAATAAGAATCGTACAATGATTCATCGTTCAATTTAATAATTTGTTTTAATCACAAATCATAAAACTACCAAGAATTCTTTTACCTTAACATATCAATTAGGATAGATATAATCAAATTACTGTATGCAGTTTATGTTGTTTTTAATATTTATTTAAACATCGTATGTCAATTTACAAATATTATAAGAATACAACTTTTATTATATTACACCAACGGATAGCTGTTTCATAGCAACAATGTTGAGAAAGTTAACATTTAAATGTTTAACTAATCAAACACTAGAAAGATCTTTTTCTTATTTTTCATTGAATTGTGAGAGATAACATTATTGGGATATAGCTTGGGATCAAATAAAGGCCTTGCTCATACTCATACTGCTAAGTGATCATAGCAATATTGTAAAACAATATCTCATTGATTATTCTCATATGTTGATCAATGGTCAAAAACCAAACACACTACGAAAAATAGAGTTGCATAACAAAGTTGACGCGATTGATTCTGTTACAGATAGTAGACTTAATGAATGTATAAGACATGAAATAACATGCAATATCTGTGATACTTGATTACAAGATATAGAAGTTTTTATTATATGCATTTTTATTTTACTGAAATGACATCAAACTATGTTTACAACGCTATGTTTGTACTCGAAAAAACATCATCACACTATATGTTGCTTTGAATGAAATTTTAGTTTACCAAAGTAGTTATGACACCTAGGGATTGACTGTCAAAAAAAATATACATCTTTTTACGAAACAAAAGGAGTTTTCCTTTTAGTATGAATGGCATTGCATCAAAAAATTCAATTATGGAAAAAAATCAGTAAATTAATTGAACATAATTGTATTAATGACTGAGAGATACAACATTCTCAAGAAAACTGTAAAGCATTTACTCACGATAAAACTAAATTGTGTTATTCAAAATAAAAAAAGAATTCATTATCTCAAGAATAAAGTACACTTATGTTGATGTAGGTAACAAGGGAAAGTTGTGTACCATCAATTGAGAAGACTGATCATATTCAGATCAGATGAACGTTTTCACTACCAATCTAACTATATTACAATATGAATTGTACATAGTTTACAGAGATCGATACATTTAGATTTCAAGATATTTATGATCTATCTAAGGTGATTACAATTCAAAATATTAGCATCAACATTTTGTTTCCTTGTTTTCATCATGATTGAATAGAGTTTGGAGACTTACATAAGAAAAAAACAATTTTACAACAGTCAGATTTTTGTGTCTATTACCCTTTTATTGAATAATGAAAGTGTTTTGGACTTTTTCGTAAAATGGCTTTATATATATGTGAGTGTTATTTCATATGTAACTCGCCAAGTTCTATCCAACCATGATGAAAAAAAGAAAAAGAAATGTTGCTACAATATTGAAGTGTGACTAATTAATATATACTGTAAATATCTTAAAATCGCATATTTCAATATTTACATGCTGTGAATAATTCATATTTTAATTTAATTTGTTTAGCATTGAGATCATTGATTTAACTCGGATAGGGCCATTCATCTTGACTTCCACTACACGACCGTGTGTTGTAAGATATACTCATAGATAATTCTCTTGAGAATCGATATGTTGGTTTTTCTAATAAATTCATGGTTTGAAAAAAGCCTAGTAATTCAAATAATTCTGTCAAAACTACTTTTTTTTTCTTTAAAAACTTATCATCATTTGATAAGTCATTCCTAAATGATTAGAAAAGATTTTAAAATCGTTCGTATTTGTTTATTTTAGTCTTATCTCTTATATAAGTTTATTTGTTTGGTTTCTTTGTTTTTCTATAACAGAGAAAAAAAAATAAAGATTGACAAATATATATTGTGTGAACACGCACAATGAAAGAAGAAAAAAAAAACGAGAAAAAGTCGTCGGTGTGAACATATGTTAAAGATAACACAAGAACAGGCAAACATACAAACACATTTTTATAAAACAAAGAAAAATAATCTATTTCGATGTCATCGATACAATTTTGCAAATGTTTCAAATTCATAGTCAATCGTTGATGGTTGAGTATCGCTTCTAAAATTAAGAAAAAGAAAAAAAATATATATTTAAATATTTGTTGAACAGACTTACTCGCATAGAGCTTTATAAAACTGTTCATGTTGTTTTAAAGTAACGATTTCTACTAAGCCATTTTTACTTGTCCGTGGTATTTCAGTTAATGATTTTTGTAACCATTGTGGAAATTTATCGGACATATAAGTTTTAACTTCAGAAACAAATTCTGATATTGATGAACGAATTGATGATGGAACACGAGAAATAACAATAGCACGAATGAATGCTGTTAAAAGATTAGGAATATATGTTTCACATAATGACATTGACAATGAACGAATTTCAGATAATTCTGATTTATTCTAGAAAAAATATAAACAATTTCAATTTCAATTTCTTTTTTTTTTTTGTATTAAAATTTACTTTGATTTCTTTATTTTTATGTGATGTTAGTTTAACTAATGTTTGTAAAAATGCGATCATACTTGAACTTGCATCTCGATGTTCTAAGTGAGAATTAGGAATTATTTGTTCAATTATTGGTTGAATTACACCGGATTTCAGATATTCAAGTGGACATCGTTGTAGTAATCTTTTATTAAAATAGAAAAAAAAAATTAATATATATCGAAATAATATAATCGATTCGATTTATTCTTAACTTCAATTAAATAAGAACAAAAATAGAGACTTTTTAGCATTCATAAATCGTATTAAATTGAAATTTTAGCCCAATCATCAGTTCTGAATAAATAATTTATCTTTTACAGCTTAATTGTTCAGATTTTGTTAGAAAAAACTCTAAGTTTTATTTTTATCTAAGTTTGTTCTCTCATAAGAATAGAATAGAAATTTAAGGAAGTGTCACCCCATTGAATCCATTATTGTCTATTGACTATGTCATATTGCTTGATAAACTGAATTTTACCATTTTTTTCAATATATTAATTAAGCAAGTTTAAATTCGATTGAAATTCTCATATTAATTGGTAGTCCTTTGGCAAATGTCAATTGTTTGATTATGATGTGTACTCTTGCCGTAGAACGAGAATATTGATTGAGCTATTAGTTTCAATTCATATTTATTTCGCTAACTGGTTATATATTTATTTCATTGATATTAACTAAACGGATAACATCAAATTCACCATATTAATTTACACAGTGACTTTTCGGCAGTTGATCATGATCATCTCATAACCAGAATTTTCGACAGTAGAAAAAAACTGAATTTTTTGGCAATTTGCAAAAGCTCAATTTTCCTAACAGCACAAAGTTCACTGCAAAACTCAGTGCTACAAATTTCCTTTTTTTTGCAACAGCATATACCAATGGTATTGCACTATAAAATATATTTGGAAACTTTATTCGAATAAAAAGTACTAAAGGAAATGAAAAAAATAATTATTTGTCAATTATTGAACACAATATGATCTTATGATGAAATAAATTTCAACCCAAATATTGGAAATTATGATAAAATTGCGTATTATCAAAAGTAGACATAGGAATAAACAGATTTATTTCTACTAAAGAAGAAATTTTCAATTTGGCCTATGAGTAAGATAGATTCTTAGACTTAGTCTATAACACCGTATGTAGAAAAGAATCGAATAACGATATCTTGTAATTAGAATATTCTGTTGACAAGATGTTTGGTCTCCAAGAAGCATGATATCCTAGAAACATTCATGCAATACGAGTCATTTTTTGGAATTCAACATGTTGTGAAGAGAGCATTCTAGTTACAAGCAGATCTATCTGTGGATAATATTTTAGGTTAAAATATCATTATTCAGTTCTTTTCTTCATACGGTGTTATCATCTGAAGGAAAGGCTTAAGGAAACCATATCTTTTTCAAATAATTAATAATCTATTGGAATTTATCTTATTCATAAAATCCAAAACAAAAAAAAACGATTTTCAAGTTAGAAACATTTAATCGTAAGATATTCCAATAAATGAAATAATATGAACGAAAGTAATACAATAATTTTCAATGATTGAGAAATTTTTCAATTTCGATATTCGTCTATGAATTGTATAAAATAAATTTTTTACCTTGATGATAAACGATAAAAATCATCAACAAGATCAGGATTTTGTTTAAAACCATCTGGTTTATTAAGAATTGAAAAAGTTTTAGTTGTTAAATGTTCACTCATAACAATAATTGATGGTTTTAAATCTTGATCATTTCCATATTCATCAATAATAATTGATATTAAATAAAGAAAACATGAATGTGGAACATCATCATAACTTGAAATAATCTATTTTAAAACGAAAAAATAAAGAATTTAAATTAAATAATTTAAAAAAAAAACAAGTGTTTCAAACGAACAAGTTCGACAATTGGTTGAAAAAATATTTTAGCATGAGAACGCATTGAACGTATTATAAAACGAATTGTACGTGACCAACATTCACTAAGTTTTCCTGATGAACGATATCGAACAATGATTAAATTGAGTAATGGCATTAACTTAAATTATATTATATTTTAATATATCACATGTTTATTTATTTATCTGTACCTGTTGAACAATAGTTATGCATGGATGTGTTTCTTCATGTGTTGTTTTAAAATCAAGACTTCTGTAATAATTGAGAAAGAATTATTTCTATTAAACATTATAGAACATTTATTAAATATCACCTGAATATTGCTGTTAAACAATCAAGTCGTTTTATTATTGAACTATAATTTGTATCAGATTGAGTAGAAAGAATCTAACATAAATATAAATAATAAGAATTAATTGAATAGAATAAAAATATAAAAGACCTGAGTTAATGATTGAATTTGTTGATCGAAAAGTAATTTTAAATACCGATGAATATCGTCAATTGATATCAAACGAGAAATTATTTTTGATGAAACTAAAAATAAATAATCAAAAAAAAAAATTGTTTCTATCATTGATTAAATTTCTATTCATTCTATTATATAAATGAAATAATAACCTTTAAGAAGACATTGAGCTGCATCACTTCCACTATCATTAAGATCTAACCAAAGAGTAGCTTGTATTATTTGATCAAGATCATTAAGAAGTTGTTTTCGACATTGCTGAGAAATAATTAATATTGCATCGCCTGATATATGACGTAATTCTTTATCAACAAGTAATGAAAGAAGATATTGAATAACAGATTCTACAATAAACAAAGAAATTTAATGCAAAAAAAAAAAAAAACATATTTATTTTAGAATATAATTTTACTTAAAATTTGTTGATCATTGTTCGCAATCCAATTTTCAAGTTGTGAAATAAGTCTAACACCTGTATACTTAAGTGCTGTATGAACAATACCGGGTTGTATTGGTGTTGAAATAATAGCTTGTATTACATTTGGAACTATTTTATCTTCATCAGGTGGTAAATATGAAGCTACACAACTCATTATATACAATGGAGCTTCACTTTCTTCCCATGATAAAGATGATGATGATTGTAATTTATCAAACATCTTTTTTTTTTTTTTTAAATAAATAAAAACCAATTCTTTTGAATACAAAACAAAAAAAAAATACTTACACGTTGAAAACAATTCAAAGCACCCGTTATATAAATCGTATCTTCAATAAGACATTGAACACGATAACGAAATTCACCTAAGTCACTATTTGATGTTCCATTATTTTTTGAATTTTTTTCATCTGTTTCTGGTGGAATACCCAACTATATAAGACAAGTAAAAAAAAGAAAAAAGGTTCAAGAGATTTTTATTACATTCTAAATTTTGTTTTTGAATATCTTACATGATCAGAATCAAGTTTACATTGTGTACATAATACATCAACTAATTTCTCCATATAAGGTTTTACTTTCTCAATAATAAATTCATTATTTGTTTGAATTAAGTCTGCAAGACGATACCATGTATAAAATGTTGATTGAACAACCTATTTTTAAATGAATATATATTTATAGAAAATAAAATTAATTACTTCATAATCGCTATGTTCTAATGGATAAAGTAACAAATGAAGACATGATAAATCACTTAAATCTGATTGACGTCCATCAACAAGACAATCAAGAATCGATTCAATTAAATTTGTATAAATTCTTGTATAATTTTGTGCTCTTTAATTAATAATATAAGAAATATATATATATATACAAGCAATATGATTTATTGAACTTACTTATCAAGATTTTCATCTATTACGGCTTGAGAATAAGGTTGACATAAATATTGAGTGATTTGTTGTTTTAAATAAACTGCTAATGACCAATATTTTTGATAATCCTATTAAACAGATTTTATTTTTTTTTAGACTTTAACTTTTTTCATTAAATAACTTAGCATATACAATGAAACAATCTTATTTCATACTCGAATTATTGACATATAACAAATAAAAAAAAACCAAACTGCACAATGGGTGATCGAATAGTAGTTTGATAAAAGGTTCATTCATTCTTTTTTGAACATTTTACAGAAGTCGGCACGAGTTTACGAGATTATCAGACAAGCTTTTAGAAGTATGAAAACTAGATTTGCACAAAAAATATTTGAGTAGTTTATAGCAATAGTTTCTGTCTGTTGCATACGTTATATTACCAATTTTATTTACATAAAATGAAAAGACGAAATCATTCTCTACAAACTGATCTAATAATCAAACCTTTGGAAACAGTTATTCAAGAATACCTGAGCTAATTTTGTAAGTCTATTCTCTATAAAAGTCAAGAAAACTTACCTAAATCAATATGGTGTTCTTAACCGAAAATACTGACTGATGACAAATGACTTGCCGCAAACTGATCATCAGTATATCATTTTATCGACAAAAATTTTACTTTTGCATTCGTTGTACTTGAAATTATTTACAAACTTCTAAAAGATTGATCCATAATTTCTAAATCAGAAATCCTTACAAAGCTTTTTAGACCATATTCGAACAGAACTAGGGATGTACCGGGACCGAGCCTCTCGGACTCGGTCAGTCTCGGTCTCGAATACAATTAACTTCTTATTCGTTCTTTATCCTAGATAAGTATTGTATTCACTCTCGGTCGACATTATTATTTTTTCAGTTTTTCGACCGAGACCAAGACTACCCGCACCGAAAGTCTCGGTACGTCTCTAAACAGAACACAAAACTATGATTTCAACTCAATACTCGATCCAAACTATGCAGACTCTCGTGAGACATTGAAAAATAAACAAACATTTAGTCAAATTACTTTTCGATAATTCATTATATATCTAATTTAGATTCATTATCTTTCAACTTTTATGTATTGATTAAACTTAAGAGCCGAAATTTGATATGAGTCAACAAACGACAAGTTGAAAACATTTATGTTTTCATCCTTTCAGAAATTGATAAGACAATATTATTAGAGATATAAACCATTCAATTATGTATTTTATTGATATAAAAATTTCTTAAGTAATTTATTAGAAAAATATAGTCAGCCAACAGTTTTTTAATCTTTTCACTGACTCAATGTTCTTTACCCATGAACGGAATATATTAATCAAATACGAACATTTATATATGAAACAATTTTCTCACTAGTAAAGCTTTAATAAAATAACATTCACTTTAAATTTGAACAATGGATTAAGTGCTAACTGAACAAACTTGTTCTTACTGTCAATAAACGAATATTTCATATTGTCATCGATAAAGCAAATGTCAAAAAATACAATATGAAAAAAAATCATTGAAAAGTCTGATATACATCGAGTAAAAAAATATGAATCTGAAATATGAGTTTCAGAACACACAACAAACATAAACAAAAAACAGAGAAATGATTTGCTCATAATCAAAACTACAAATAGATGGGTCTTTGATCGGGAAATATTCTAATCCAGAATACTATACCCAAGTTGTCTAATATATCTTTATTTAGGATGTTTAATTTGATAAGTACTTGAAAAATTCCCATTCTAGTCAACAGTCTATCTTCAAAAGGTCTACTTTGTTTTTGTTAAGCTTCTCACAAAGTCGCAACTTAAAAAAACTATTCTCTTCTTATTATTTTTTCTATACCTCGCATAATTCAAGTATATCACATAAACAATCGCATGCACTTTTATGAAGTTCATTTGAACAATGTGTTGATTTCTATACAAATAAAAATTAGATGAAAATTTCAAATAAAAAAAAAAAACACAAAAACTCACAAGAATATCTAAAACACTATTTAATAATGGTGATGTAAGTATAAGATTTTCATCAAATGCTCGAATAGTAATCCATGATGCAAAACATTTAAGAATACCAATAAATAATAATTCATTATGTGAAGGATTAACTTGTGGAAGACATATCTTTAATTATCAAATAAATTAAATTTTCCGTCTTCAAAAAAACAAAAGTTGTTTTTACGAACTAAAATGTCATGAATTTGTGTTCCACAATTCGAATATTTTTCTCGACAATATTGACGACGATTTTCTCCGATTCTTATTGTTGATGTATTGAGCTAAATTTCAAAATAAAATTTAATGAAACAAAAAATTGAAGAAAATTTCAAATACTTCTTCAGGTAGTGCAGTTAGAAATTCGAGTAATGTTAACATATGTTCACTTGATGTTTTTAATCTAAATATATAGTTCAATTGAATTTTATTATTAAAATAATTAAAAAAAAAATAAAACAATTCATTTACTTTTCCACAACATCTTCAACTGGTTTTTCCCAACCAACATATTGAAGGGCTAAATCAGCAGTTGCAACAGCTAACTAGAAAAATAATCAATATATGTAACGATGATTAGTTTTTTTTTGTTACTAAAATATTCTTACTTGAACACGCACTGTTGTATTACGAGTGAGTTCTATTCGAGATAAATGATCAAGTAAAGAATCACATAAAGCCTTGAATATTCATTTATTATTTTAAACTATATTTAAACAAAATATATTTAACATACTTTACAATGTTCTACCGGTAGTTCATCAAAATTATGTTGAATCTAATAGATATATTTTTTCTTAAATTTTTATAAAAAAGAAAAACAATTTTAATATTACTTTATGTCGAAGAATTTGAGCCGAAAGACAAGTTACTTCAGAATTTTGATTCATTCTTATTAATTGATCAGCAAGTGACCATGCATAAAGCTTATTTAATAAACAAATAAATAAATTATTTAAAGTAAATTAAATCATAATTACCGATGATTGAACATTAAGTAACCATTCTGAAGCTATTTTTTTTCTTGTAGCATCTTGATCATGATAAAGCATTTGAACAGCACGAACAAAGTTCTCTGGTGTTACATCCGAAGATGATGTCATCTTCACTAAGGTTGACTTATTTCTATGTTTTGAAAGAACAAAAAATCTAAACAATATTTAGTAAATAAAATATATAATACGAAGAAATTGTCTTATTTGGTGTTTTTTATTTAATGCAAAACGAACAATTATTTGTCGAAAAGTTTTATTGGACATTTATAAACACGTATCAGAAAAGAACACCAATTCGAATAAGTAAAGATGACGCTAGAAATCTTACCGTTACTTAGAAGATCTCAACAATCAAAAAAATTGCGATCTGATTCAACGTAATATGCTTTCACATATTAAATTGAATTTTTTAAAGATAGAAATCGACATCTTCAAAAGAAAAATATCAATTTAATGGCAAAACTTATAGCTAATGACAAGGAGATAAGTGTAACGTCTGAGCACCAAATTTTACTACAAAGTACTGGAAAAGTCTTGAAGATGCTGTGATACTCATACATATATGAAATTAGCATACGCTTAAGAGAATCGTTATAAATGAAAGTCATACTGTTTGAATCCGCTTTTTTAAAACAAAAGACAAGACTATTTTTCGAAAATAATGGTTTCTTTTTTTTTTTTGTAAAACTTGACTAAAAAATTCCGAGACAAGAAAGCTGAATTTCTAATTGATTTTTACGAAACTCTTCAGTTCAATTTTTCCGATCAGGGAAACACTATTTCAACCAAATAGCTCTATGTTATGCAACGTAAATCAATTGCAAGAAATAGGCTTCCACTGACCAAAAACATCGATTAGAGATTCGAAATCTTCTTCTTCAGAAACTTCTAGTCAAATTTTATAAAAAAAAGTTCTTGTCTTCAAAAAATAGTCTTATTTTCATTGAAAAAATTGAATCAACATAGTATGACTCTCACGCATAACTTTCATCTCAATTTTCCTCCCTTAGGTAAGGAACAAAAAAAAGTGAACTTTTCGAAGCAGTGATTTTTTTCAAGAATTACGATCAATCGTCGATTTTGATAAAAAACGACGAAATAAGTTGTTCGTATAATTGAATGTGAAAGGTTTGTTTTTTTTATAGTTTCTTTAAAAATTTTCACTTCAAAATTTACAATGAACGAAAATGAAACTATTACCATTAATATTCTAACGTATTATTCAAAACGTTGCTGCTGATTTGATTACTAGAGTACTGTGTCATTAATGCACAGTATTTATATAAGATTCAATTTATTGTAATGATTAAATATGCCACAAACTGAAGAACTAGTTTTATGGTTGCCCCAAGTAACGATATTTATTTAGGTACTCTACATTTCCAGTCATGCTTGTTTAATATACAACACGACCCTGTAAAAACCATCAAGACCATTAGAGAAAAAAATGACATAAAATGTTGAGAAGAAAGAAAATGAGGATATCAAGCAGAGTATGATATTAATATTGACACACTTATTTTTTTATTATGAATAAATTCTTTAATATCATTAGAAAAAAAGCATGAATAGTTGTTCTTTTACTTTTATTTCCCAGATGAAATACGAGAAGCCGTTAAAAATAAATCCTCTGTTCATGAACCATTACGAAAAACAAACAGCATTTCTGTGCTTAATAACAACGATAATCTCTTTTTGTTTGTGATATCCATCAAAACAAGCATCAAAAGCTCAACACTAGAAGTATTAAAAAAACGAGAAAGTTCATGTCGTAGAGCATCATTTTTTTACGTTTTCACATCGATTTTAAACTGCATTGAAGAAATGACTTAAAACTATTCAATCGATAGCTCTTATTGAGACCTATTCGACGATACATCAAAGACCCTTCGAAAAAGTCCTTCTGTTTTGCTATACAATAATCGTCATGGTCCAAATTATGAACATATCGAAAAAAGTACACATATTGACTTACTTTTCGTTCGACGCTTCTCTTCAAAGATATTTACCATACATAGAAGTTGTGAAATTAATTCAAGTTCCAGTTCTCATTTTAATTACCCATAAATAAGATCTCAGTAACATGGAAAATGAATGAAATAATTCTCATATTCACCAACGATGTTCTCCTAGAGCTTTGTGTTTCTGTATTAGATAACTCATTTGTTTCAAAGATTTTTCGTTTGTGCTTTGTCACATTTAGTTGTTACGTCTTGTGTGCATTAATCTTTACATACGAATCATGTTTATGACATAAAAATTTTCATAATAGTAGACAACAAATGCATGGTGTTGCATAGACTTTGCCAGGTGTAGATATATTATCTCGTATACGTCAAAAGACAGCGTCAGCAAGACAATATGCAATAAAAATACGACTCTAATGCTGGGTGTGGGCGTGTGGGTGTGGCTGTGGCTGTGGATGTGAGTATGGGTGTGGGCATGTGGGTGTTGGCATGTGGGTGTGGATGTGGATGTGGATCTTAGTCTATTATTCCGTGCATTTACACCAACACCCACACCCACACCCATACCCACACCCACCCACACCCACCCCACACCCCACACCCGCCCACACCCACACCCACTCACCCCACATCCACACTCACACCCACACCCACCCACACCCACCCCACACTCACACCCACCCACACCCGCACCCGCCCACATCCACACCCCAGCCACCCACACCCACACTCACCTCCACCATCACCCGCCCACACTCACACCCATACCCCAGCCACCCACACCCACACCCACCCACACTCACACCCACATCCTCACCCACCCCACACCCACACCCCACATCCACACCCGCCCACACCCCACATCCACACCCGCCCACACCCACACCCACACCCAAAAAGAGTAATATAATAGAAATCAAACAAATGAGAGGATCTGAGTATATGTAGTACGATTTCCAATCACATTCTAATGAATATGTATATGGGTAAGAAGGAGACAGACACTCACACTCTAATCAATGATTCAGATTACATCGATTTTCGTAACACATTTATTACGTTTTGTAACGATAGCAGACATTCGAACTCCTCTGATATATGTATATTAATCACTATCAGACACTTGTTAACTTTCTATCAACTACTGTCACAGAGAGAAACGAAAAATGTCTAAGGTAACATACAAACCAAGAACAAGCAGACGATATGTGAAAAGAACTTATAAAAAAAGAAGAATCTTTCATTTTTCATGATCTATGAAGTAACATTTGAGAAGAATTTTATATGGATCTAGTTCATTGATGAAAGACCAAAATATAAATTTGTTCCATGTTCTTTTTTTACTTGGAATTTTCCAACATAACTGGGTTTTTTGAAATATATATATATTGTTCTATTCTGTGTAGTAATCTGCAAATTATTCATTTGTTATGCAATACTAAAAGTCTACACATATATGATTTTACTTGTCTGTATTAGAGAATTCAGTGAACTGGATTTTTTAATTAATAATATTATTAAAATGAATTTTTTATCGTGATTTAATTAGTTATAAGAAAGAAATTATGTTCAGGTTTAATCTGATATTGATTTGATGTTTATAAATAGACTGGGGATTTTCCCAGTCTCATACTTCGTTTTTGTTTCTTTTTGGGAAAAAATGTTTTTTATCTTCACATATATAAAACATAGTTTTCAGCATGTCGATGGTTAGTAAACGAAAAACTATCGTTTGATTCTCGTCAAAATTTCATTCGTTTTCTTGTTTATCTTTTTTTCTTTGTAGTTTCAAACAATACTTACATATTTATTTTAGATTTTTTTCACTTTATTATTTATGATTAATTGTTTTACTTCTATTTCATATTTAAAAAATCTCAAACATTCGTATGACATCATTGACAAATAAATTACCAATTATTCAATTGTCTACAGACATTTCACTACGGCAATTATTGCCTAAAAATAATGTAATTATCAATGATAATAATAAGTCAATTGCTGAATTGTTTGATCGATATGGACAATCTCGCTTGGCTTATGATAATGGTATGAGAGTAGTTCTAGTGTAGAAGTAATCTTATGTTTTAGAAATTTTTTTTTTCTTTTTTTCTTTTAGTACATTATGGGGATCTTGTAGTACTCTGGTATGGTGCAAAGAACTCTTCGTTAAAAACGGCTCTTGTTGAATATTTAATCCCTGAAGATATAACTTTAATGTTGTTTTCAACAGAAGAACAGTTGTGGCATTGGTTAAATATTTATTCTTCACGAAAAGTTGTATATCTTGTGATTGAAACAAACATTAATATTCAAAATATTGTGCATCGTAGCATTGCGTATGCTAGTATTCATTCAATTCTTATCCGTTGTTCAACTAATGAATTAATTACTTTGCAACAATTTTCAAGATCGCATGTTAAGATTGATGGTATCTTTACTGATGATACACGTGTTCTAATTAAATTAGTTATCGATCTTGCTCTTTTCTGCGAAGAAATAGGTGATCGAACAAGAGAAGATGAAAACAATGAGTACGATGCTCAAAGGAATTTTGATCGCGCTCTCAAGCTGTGTAATTTGGCAAAGAGACTATAGAAAGTATGAATCTTTTTTTTAGTAATTTTAATGTAGTTAGAAAAGAAAAATTTTCAAAAAAAAATGCCTCATAAAATTGTTTATTTGAAAAAAGAAAATCATTTTTTTAAATAAACAATATCAATCAAGAACAGAAAACAGGATAGAGACCTGCGATCTTCACCATGCGAAGGATTCTCTCATGGTTTTTTATTTTTTGCTCCTTTTTTTCATAAATTTTCACAAGAATTCCAACTCAAACTATATATAAATGTAACCAAAATTACCCTTTATTCCCAATAAAATGTTGACAGAACCCTTCGAACTGATCATTCTTTTGAATAGTGAAAAGCAACAGATGTTCATCTAGCCTCACTAATTGACTTTTTGAATGGACAATAGAGGCTTTTATGACGAGTAATACACAAGTTCACAAAAAACTAATCAAATAATTCTTTTTCTTTTTGTATTTTAAAAACATTATAAAATGTATACATAATTATCTTGGTATCAGTTTAGTAAGATCTCATCCTATTTATGGAAAGAAAAAATTTTCAAATGTCACAATTCTCTGTACTCTCTCTTGAAGAACAAAACAGGCAATAGCTAAGCTTAGTTCATGAATAATATTTAAACAATATTTTTCAAACATATTCAACATCGTTCACGATAGATCTTTTATTCGATATTTTCATTTTAGTTAAAGCAAAAATCGATACTGTTTATGTCAAGTAAAATAATATAAAACATCGTATGTTTACCAGACCTGCAAAAAAAGCACTCATGTGTAAACAGTATGATTCATTCTTGTATTTTGTTTTTCGGCCATGTAGAGTCGTCAGAAGAAGAACAAACAATTTTTCTGTAAACAGCACATGTCTATGAACAACAGAATACAAAAGTTATTTATAATGTTGCACATGACTGCCATGTTTCTTATTAGAAATAAAAAATATTATTTAAATATTATTTAACTAAACTTAGTTGTTTGTTCTTTTTTTCCAGAGAGTAGAGAAAGTCCTGACATTTTAAAAGTTTTTATTCTACAAAGGGAACGAAATCTTAAAAAACCAATACTAAGATGGTTGTATACTGCCAAGATACTTTCATTTTATAATGTTTCTAGACTGTGGAAAAATTCGTTGTGAACATATTTCTGATTTTATCCAAGTCGATTGATATTAAATCTTAAAAACAGACTAACGCAGTTATCAAGATACCCGTGTTAAAAGATTCGTTTTAGACTAAATACTACTGAGGCATTTGGAAAGTTGTTTTTTTTTCATTCATTTCTAGAACTTCATATTCTTTTCATTAAGAATTTAGATTTGTCGAAATATTTCACTTAATTTAGAAATTTTAATGATTTAGTTTTTGTAATAATAAAAAGGATGAATAATTCAGAACATCGATCTAATAATATTAATTACTGCCATGTTTTTGTTTTTGTAAATTTTAATGTGTTTTTTAAATGTAATTTTTTTTTTCATGATTATACTGCTTTGATGAAGAGTTTTTTTTTTCAATGTAATATGTAATAAATAGACGAGGGACATAGGACAGCATTTTGACCTTTTCGAATTCTTTTATCGATCTGATCTATTCATATAGATAACTTGGAAGCACAGTAGTTATCCGTTACATTTGACTTATCTTTAATTGAAGTTGCAAGTCATACAAACTATAGTAGCCTTCTGTAAATCATATGTTAAAACAGTCTTCTAGTATGTTAGAATATCTTACGAGGAAACATTCCCAAGCGATGCGCACCGTTTCGGCTCATCTTCTACTGGTAGTTAGAGTTCATTATATATACCAAATATGTAAAAGGATTCGTGCCCATGCTGCACGGTTTCGGAGAAATTAGCGAGACAACTACTATGATAGTTGGTCCTACCATCTATTTGTTAATCTTTTATACTTTCTCTATTGTAACTGAAACATTTGTTAAAACATTTTTCGCTCTAGCAAGGTAAGACAAGTTTGTATTATAAATAACTATCGAGAAAAATATTCCCTAGTTAAGATACGAAGGGAAGAAAAAAATAATGCATAGAAGGTGACACCATCTGGCACAAGAGTACTTCAGCTCATAACTCTGAAATCGTGTAGCATGGGCACGAACCCTTTTAGATATTTGATATATATAATGAACCCTAACTACCAGTAGAAGATGAGCCGAAACGGTGCGGATCACTTGGGAATGTTCCTTCGTTAGTAATATTTTGAAATTCTTTTTAACAAATAATAACAGAAATAGAGGAGCTATTTATTAGCCAGATATATCGAGCTATAAATGGAAGAAGTTTAGCGGTGTATGAACATACTGATTGTGTAGCACAAGTTTTCCATAAAAGGAATATCCACAATATTATTTTTATGATTCATTTAAAAGTGTTAAAAGCATTTAACTTATCAGTATATTCGTCAGACTTTAGTAATTTCTAGCGATCATGTCAATATTTGAGGTAACTTATATTCAGTTGGTTTTTTGCAATAAATCGATCGAAGAATTCTAAACAGTCAAAATATCTGCTTATTCTTAAGTCGTTTTCACGCTTTCGGTAAAAGTAATATAATAATATAAATTTTATTTATTTTATAGATTTCTGTATTTTACTGCTAATATTGAGTATGCAATTTCTATTCGTTTTTTTTTTCTTGTAGATTATATATTTACTCAGTAGCTATTGTGATATGACTAGTATTACTAGTGAAATCTATGTGCACAAACTTCTTATGGTATGTGCAATGCCTATTCCAGAGCAGGTTAAAGCTCTCTTTGCTCTGGTATTTGTTAATTTACGTGATTTGATCGAATATGTGTGGAAAAATATTAACAAGACAGATGCGTTTCATCTGATTATTCCTTTGGATTGTCTAGAACAGTTACTGAACGATCCTATTTATCGATTTCCACAAGTTCTACATATTGATGTTATTTATGATGGTATCAATGAGTTAAGAAAATATCGACGTCGTTTTCCATTGAAATACAAAAAGGTAAACTTATGTACAATATATGATTTATTACGGCGATGGGAAACAATTGAGACTAATAAAGCACTTGTTTCATCAAACCCAATTGACCGAAGCACAATTGATGCTATCATTTCAATTATAAAAGATCGGGTTCATCTTAAACAATTGACTACGTTCAATAATTTTTCTCCATTTTCAAAACAATGTACGCTCACATCATTATATGGGTTGCCTGCAAAGAATATCATTGACTTTGCTCCATGCCTTGTTTGTTCATCATGTAAACTGATTAATCAACAACTTTATAAACTTGAATGTGAACATCAACAATGTATAGTGTGTATGAAAATTCAAAAGAAGTAAATATTTTCATTTTTATTCTATTAGTATATACATCTTTCTTAATATTATTAGTTGTACAACATGTTTCAAAGCGGTCTCACGTGATAAAGTAAATATAACAATCGATATGTATCACTTTCCTCAATTACTATGTTCATTTTTCAAGTTTTCATTGGTTCAAGATTTGCAAATGAAAATACAACATATTCCTATATGCTGCTCAAGTTGTGAATGGACAGGACTACTAGACGACTACCAAGTATAAGATATTGATGACTTATTAGTAGATTATATTGTCTATCTGATTGCTAGGTGCATGTCAAACAAAATCATGATAAATTAATTACTTGTTTTGTTCGTAATCAAGAAGTAAATATTTAACTAATAATATTTCTTTTTAAAACAATGTTATATCATTCTTTGTAGATAGATGAAAACATTTCTTATCAACAAAATTCAACGGGAGCGAATCAAGATCTAATACTTGGTAATCTTTCTTCATTAGATTCAGATGCATCGATTACATCTTTGAATGGCACATGTATATGGGAAGTTTCCAATATCTCTGATATGAAAGGTATATAATAAAACAACTTTTTAAAATTTTTTTTTTATTTATTGATCCATTAGATAATGCTGTCTTTGATGAGCTAAGATCGATATATTCTTCTTGGTTTTATTTATTTCCTTATGGTTATAAAATTTCCGTGATGTTATTTTTAAATGGAGACACTAAATCAAGAGGTACTTATATGTCGTTGTATTTTGTATTAATGCGGGGTAGTTATGATAATGACCTTCGTTGGCCATTTCAATTCAAAGTAACATTTACTTTGCTTGATCATTTATCACCGAATAATAATCAGACAAATTTTCTTTGGCCTGATACGAAATCAATCGCTTTTCAACGTCCAAGTAGCGAAATGAATATCCCCTATGGTATTTCAAAATTCGTTCCTCTGAATGTATTCGAACACAATGAAAATCATTATGTTAAAAATGATCGAATGTTCATAAAGATTGAAGTTGATTTTCTGGCTGAAAGACCAAGTAATATGTTTATACCGAAAGATACTTTAGTTTCTTTTCCTTTTTTGTTTTGTTTTAGCTATATCATTGATAGGTGATGTAGGTGAATTACTGAATGAGGAAGAACTCGTTGATACAAACTATGACAATCTTCCACAATTGCTCTGTTGTTCAGACGCATAATAATGGTAAATATCAATAAGATTAATCTAGAAACTCACTGAGTTATCACGTTTGTTAGACAATGTCGTATTCTGAGTTTTTTTACAAGTATTAAGGTTTGTTAGTGTGAATATCATTGAGTTTGAGTTTCGACTATCATTTCGATTGAGGTTGTTTCCTGGGATTATTTCTTGAGTTTCTTTCTAAGCTTTGAATACTTAAAAAATCAGATTCTTCTTTTGAGTCATTCTATCATATCAGTGCCATTGATCAAGAAGAATTACATGAATTTTTACATCATTACCTTTATTCTTGTAGATGCGGTGGCTTTTTTCTACTTCGCAAATAAAATCATGCATTTATAAGCAGTTATAACTTTCTTTGAGCGTAAATTCTAAATGGAATAACCGATAAAAGCCTAAGCTTATACAGAATAATTTCGTTAATTGTAATATTGGAATGCTTTTATTAGATCAAAACCTTCTTTTCTTAATCTAAGTAACTGTGTGTCAATGACATACCTTTCAACTGTCTAACTTATCAACTTTTATGTCGTATGAGCTTTAGCTGAATTGAGAAACCTTTGCGTGTGTAATTCTTCTTGATCAATCGAATTCTTCGAAAAATTATAGTCCAACAAAAAAAACTCGGTGATAATTGTAAATGATTGTTTCTGGTTTTCTAAATAGTAAAACTATCTAATTCCATTATCCTTTCGCCAAAAACCATAAATAGCTTTTTAATCAGTATCATATTCGTTCAGAAAAAAAAACTATCAGCGAGTGAGGAATTTGTATTTTTGCACTTTTTTCGACCAATTTTATTCAAACTAACAAATATTTTACTTTATTTTAATCATGAATATATCGCTTTTTTCTCAACTTGATTTTTCTGATTTTCTTTATTTTAATAAAATACAATTGTTAATCAAGGGTGTGGGTGTTGATATGGGGTGGGTGTGGCTGTGGCTGTGGCCGTGGCTGTGGATGTGGGGTGTGGGTCGGGTGGGTGTGGACGTGGGGTGTAGGTGTCGATGTGGTTCAGGTTGTGGATGTTGTTGTGAACTTAGGAAAGACATATATGCACAGGCACACACACTTACACCATCCACATCCATACAGGCACACCCACACTTACATCCTCACAGACCCACATTCTCTCCACACTCACACGCACACCCCGGTCTGGTCCGGCACTAGTGTGCACTTTAGACCGGCCGGTCGCCGGTAGACCGCTAGATCGGACAGCCACTAGTTCGATCTTATTGATCTTCCTCCTTTTAATACATATATCAATTAAATTTTCTATTGCTCTGATTTGTGTGAAGTGTTTTGCCTTTTATATGATCAATTTTGATGTTTCCTGCACTTCTTCTTTTTGTCAACCTTTTACATATACATGAAATGGAGTGTCAGAAGTGTAACTAAACCGTTCATAAGTTTTATCCGAGTAAGTGTGAAGGATGTGTCTAGTATCCACGACTGGCCGGCTTCCTGTAGACCGGTCGACTGCCGATAGACTGTCTGGTCGCCAGTAGACCAATCTGT